TTTGGCCACTGTCTTACCCCAGCGGTAATATACTCGCCCCGCGGCCGCGTCAATCCATTTGGCTATCATGTCGTCATGTACTCGGTGGGCAGTGAACGTTGAAATTCCCTCGCCTGGCTTCTCTTTTCAAATGATCACCAAAAAGGTCTGAAAATAACAGAATTTACCAGTTTGAACGAAACGAAGAATTTCAAGCCACGAAAACTACGATTGTCCTTGATATGCCGTTAATTTATCAACCGCCTAAGGGCGTAACATTCTTGATCCACTAGATTGCACGCACATTTAATGCTCAAGAAAACCGGTCTGTTTACCCAGGGACGTTCTGTCATTGGTTCACCGAAGGACATTACACATCAGTGCCCTTGGCCTAACAGGCACTTTTGAACTATGAACTTTTACATATGACACGGGAGGCCATTCTGAATGTGGGGTAAACATCACCACAGCTTGTTGTTATGACTATGAGTGTTACGACTGATCTTCGCTTATTGTGCAAATTCTCATGTTCTGATGATGATGTATTTACAACTAGAGTTCCACGATCTCATACCTTCGCCAAATGACTTTCTTATGACTAAGAAAGTATACATTAATCCCCGATTATGCAAATAGGATCCGCAATTGCATGAATTACATCTGTTAATCATATTCTACACCAAAATAGTCTTGTCTTAACCAAGAATACCATTATAGCATTTCCTCATAATTTATGCAAATAAGGCCTTTATATCACTTAACTTTCAAATACCCCAAGTATGAAATTCCAGGCAGTTAACACTATAGAATTATAACATTTTCTTATTAATTATGCAAATTAAGTCTTCATTTCCATAATCGATATCTGCCTGTGTTACTCTCATTTTTAATTACATATGTCACAAGCTTGACATATGTCACATAGCCTTATCATGGTATGCAGCTGATTTATAAACTTTCCTCATTAAATATGCAAATTATATCCATATTTGCATAATTGTAATACCATTATGTCAATCATCACTTAAGCTACCTACATATAAAAAATCACGACGATCCATCAATCGGTTCTTGAGTTATCCTCCTTTAAACATTTTTCAACAAATGCCCCTGCAGTTCCAGAGCAAGCAGCTAGGGGCTCAAACTCATGTCACTTCATCTCCAACACAAAAGCTCTATACCATGTAAATTTTGTGACCCTAGCATGCCTGGATCATGAGATATCAAAACTGGAAGTTCTGCTGCAGTACCATGACAAGCCGCCAGGGGGCCCAAATCTAATCAGTTCCAGGTCTCATCAAGACCTACCCACCTACCAAGTATTAAGACAATCCATCCAGGCGTTCTTGAGTTATCGTGCTCACACACACAGATACACACACACACACAGACACACGAACGCCCCTGAAAACATAACCTTCTTGGCGAAGGTAATTAAGTGAATTTCTATTCTAGAGGGACCTACATTGTGCTTGCTTGCTCAGGAACTGCAGGGGCATTTCTTTAAAAATAAAAAAAAGGATAACTCAAGGACAGGTTGACTGATCGTCGTGATTTTTGGTATGTAGGCTTGACATAATTATGTGACAATTATGCCAATCTGAATGTAATTTGCATAATTTATGAGGAAATTCTATAAATCAGCTGCATTGCATTATAGGACTCTTCAAGCTTGTGACATATGTAATTGAGAACGAGAGAAACACAGGCAGATATTGTGTAAATCAACACCTAATTTTCATAATTAATGAGAAAATGTTTCCATAAGGGTAACTGCCTGGAATTTCATACTGCCAATTCAATGCAAGGACACAATCTCGGAGACTCTGTGTCAGACAAATTGGCAAGTCACATTGCCTCTACACGCGTGCAAATAAATTAAAAGCAGACTGTAATTTTGTTACTGTTTGTGCGTATAGTACATTTACATGTACGTGTCGGAAGGCCACAGGCCTCGTGGTTCTAACTGTAAACAACTTCATCATTACGTAGGATAATTTCCTTGTATTATGAATTACCTACTTAGTAAGTATTTAAAAATTATGCATATGGGCATCCTAAACTGCAATGGGGCTAAGGTTGCCTTGTGGTTAAAGGCATCCAGTGCAGTTTTTAGGCCTTGGAAACCTAACTTTTCAAAGTCAATATTATAGTCACTAAATATCTACACACTGAGTTGAAACCACACTATTCCAATGTATATTGACCCTCGATCATGAAGCAAAAATTCTGACGGAAAATGGTTACTGGAAGGGCCATGGGCTAATTTTTGGGGTACCCTCCCATTAAATAAAAGACTCATCTTGGGGCTTGTGTCTCCAATTCAAGTACCCAACGTATGGAATAATGATTGAAATGTGCTAATGTGAAGCAGTAGAGATGTCAATATCATAAAGAGTTCTTTATTCAGAATTGTTCCAGTTTTGCTGCTCTGAAATCGCATTGGATGCCTTTAAGGTCATTGACTTCGAATTTAGAGGATCTGGGTTCGAATCCCTAGCAGGCCCCAAAAAGCACTTTACACATATGTTTTCACTTAGAGTCGATTCCGCGTCACCGAGTGGGTTTTTTCTCCATGTTTCTAATACGTTTGAATTATTTAGAAGAAAAGAATACCCTAGTAACAAAAGTTCTAAATTTTTCAAAAATTTGAAAATGAAAATTTGAATATATTTGAATTCATTTATATATTTCTGAAACATTTTGAAAGTGACTGTACAAAGATCTCTTTATTTACAATAAATTGAACAACCCATTTGTTTCTTTCACTATTCGAAATATTTAGAACTATTTCAAACAAATGAAAAATGGTAGATGTGGGTAATTGCCCCCATAAAAGTAGGTGCTAATCCTACTCTTCTGTATTCTTCTGTATATTTTTAGGTTTCACTGCTGGACACTGGTGGCTCTTTTGTTGTAAGGCATCATTGCCTGACACCCAGGCAGTCTACCCTGTACTTCACAGGGATGTGTGAATTACTTCCTTCCCATCCCACTGACCTATTTACAAAATGTTAGAAATAATTCGAAATAATGGTAAAAAATGGTAGAGTGCTGTTAGAAATATTTAGAAACTATTGGAAATGTCATATTCCACATCAGGAATATTTCAAACGTTTTAGAAAACCAGGGAATTATTTAGAATATTGACAAGATGTTCAAAATATTTACAAATTATGAAATTTCTTAGACAAACATTTACAAAGAATTCAAAACATTTCTAAATAATGACAATAACAACCCACTCGGTGACGCGGAATGGACTCTAACTCGGGTGAAAATGAACCTACATGTAGGGTTGGTTAGGGGTGTCCTCTTGGATTATTATACAGATATAAAGCCAGAAATTCTCATGTTTTAGCATGTTTAAAATTCCACCATAATTATCATAAATAGTATACTGGTAGGTATACTTATACTAGTTACAGTCCCATCTTATGCAGCTTGTACTGGTGTTTTATGTCTAAAGGCGGTTACCCAGTTGTGCAAAACAAGCTTTTTGGAAAGGTAACTGTCTCTTTCAGTTAAGTAACGAAATTGTAGATCACATTTATATGCATGTGTGTGCCAGATATCTTAAAGGTCATATCTTGAAGGTCACTTGCCTCACGTGGTTCTTTCCAACAAACTCACCATAAAGTAGGACATTTTTCTCTAAATATGGACAATTCTAATTGTGTAGTTACCCACAACCTACATGTACATTATATGTCACAGGAAATACATTGTCCAACATGTGGGCTGGGCATCTGATATACATATATATTATCGAGAAATTGGTCTGGTATTTGTAATAAATTGCCGAGTCAGGCTCCACTGAAGACTATGCTACACTGCCAACCATTCAGATCCAACATTTTTGTACGCTCTACCAGAAGGGCATGTTATAATTGTGTTTCTTCTTTTTCCACCACAGGTATTAACAGTGATTGTGTACCTGTGTTCTGAGCTTGACGTCCTGTCCTGACTATGGCCAAACCTGTTTTCAGTGACAGTCCTGTGTACATGCTGTGTAGCAGACTGAACCCTTGCTGTTCTCATTAACAAACTAAATAACAAAGTAACACATACAGACAGAGGTACATGATTGTGTACCTGTGTTCTGAGGTTGACTTCCCATTTTGTTATGTGGTGTTCACTCCCTATGTTACACCTGATTTCTCACTTAACTCGGGTGAAAAGGAATACCTACATGTATGGTTGGTTAGGGTGTCCTCTTGGATTATACAGACATAAAGCCAGAAATGCCATGTTTAAGCATGTTTAAAATTCTTTATCAAAAATAGTAGGGGTCTATTCTGGTGTGCATTGACCTTACAAACCTTATACTAGTTACAGTCCCATCTGATGTAGCTTGTACTGGTGTTTTATGTCTAAAGGCAGTTACCCAGTTGTGCAAAACAAGCTGTTTAGAAAAGTAACTGTCTCTTTCAGTTAAGTAAAAAAATTGTAGATCACATTTACATGCATGTGTGTGCCAGAAATCTTGAAGGTCACATCTTAAAGGTCACTTGCCTCACGTGGTTCTTTCCAAGAAACTCACCATAAAGTAGGACATTTTTCTTTAAATATGGACAATTCTGATTGTGTAGTTACCCACAACCTACGAGGGGTGATCCAAAAGTTCTCGGCCTCTCCCAAAAAACGTGATGGCAGAAAAATTTTTCTTACACTATTTTTTAACATAGTCTCCTCTAACTTCAATGCACTTGGTCTAGTGATGTTCCAGCTTTCCTTTCCCTCGTGGAAGAATATTTCGTCTGAAGCCCTTAAAAATGCCTAAATCACATCAATGACGCCATCATCACCATCAAAACGTTGACCACGTAAGTGAAACTTGAGTTCAGGAAACAGGTAGAAGGCCCACGGTGCTAGGTCAGGTGACTAGGAAGAGTGGGGTAAGACTTCAAAGCCAATTTCGTTTGCTGCTACCACTGACCCCTGTGCTGTGTGGACAGGTGCATTGACAGCACGTCAACTCGGAGCTTTTATCCCCTTTTCTCTGTGATTGTTGCCCTCAAATGCCGCAATTCTGGTGCACAGTACACCCCATTGATGGTTTGACCCTTTTGCAAATAGTCAATAATGATTACCCCTTACTGCCCCAGAAAACAGAGGCAAAAACCTTTTCAACGGGTAAACTCGCTTGGGATGCTGGGAACCGTTCTTCATCTAATTATTTGCTCTGCTGTTTTGATTCGGGGTGAAAGTGGTGAACCCCATGTCTCATATTGGGTGACAAATCGTTTGAGTAAGTTGCCTTGATGGACTGAATTCGTTCCTTGAAATGCCCAGTCTGTTTAACTTGTGATGTTCAGACAACATTCTAGACACCCATCATGCAGACAGTTTGCTCATCCCCAGGATGTCTGACAAAACATTGTGAACTGAGTCATAACACAGGCCAAAGGACCTGCTACATGCTGGACAGTCTCACATCTGTCATTTACTACCATGTGATGGATGGCCTCAACTGGATTGTCCATGGTGCTGATTTGTGGCATCCTGACATATGTTCATCTTTTGTGCTCTCCTTGACGCGCTTAGAGCTAGCAACCCAGTTCTTTGTAGTTAAATAAGAAGGGGAGTCATCACCAAGTGACTTGATCATGTCTTTATGGATTTCCCTAGGAGACATAGCTTTTTATCGATACACTTGATCACAGCACACGCTTCTGGTGCGGCCATTTTGTGATTTTGCCCTCACCCACCCCATTTTCACGGGGCGTCACGTGGTAATTAATGAATGTAAAAATTTGAATTTTTGTGGGCAGTGATGTAAGACGTCATAGTATACAGCCATACCAAAGAATAGGAGTTTGACCTCTATTTTCTAGGTGAGGCCGAGAACTTTTGGATCACCCCTCGTACATGTACATTATATGTCACAGGAAATACATTGTCCAACGTGTGGGCATCTGATGTATATATATATATTATCGAGAAATTGGTCTGGTACTTGGAATAAATTGAGTGGTTTGCCGAGTCAGGCTCCACTGAAGAATTTCCTACACTGCCGACCATTCAGATCCAACATTTTTGCACGCTCTATCAGAAAGGCATGCTATAATTGTGTTTCTTCTTTTTCCACCACAGGTTAACGAAATATCTCATCAACTGCTACACTATAGACCGACGAAGGGACATCTTAAATCAATTTCTTCTGCTAACAAAAGGACCACCTGACAACCACTTTCTTCTGTTTGACGCTTCTCAATTGTGCCAACCCATCTAGGAGTAGTCTCAGCAAGTCTGGGCAAACCCTGAGGGTGACCTACCCAGCAAAAACCTTCAACGTCAATCAACACAAATTTGGAACTTTCAACAACATCTACAGTTAAACATCGATATCCAGGTGCAAAGTCTTTCCTTACTTCTTGGTGTCCACTCATCGGGCTAAATCAGCCTTTGTTACTGGGAAACGTCATCTACGTAAAAGCTACTGCTTCTTCTTCTCACAAATTCAAAGCGTCGAAAAAATTATTGCTTGAAGTTAAGCATTATGCTTTTTTGGTAGTTGGTAGCGCAGTTAAATTTTGATACAGCCCGCTTTTGTAGCCAATCACCCTATTCTTAAAAGTCATTAAACATAATTCATTAGTAAATGAAATATAGTCTTGGGCCTAAGGCAGCCAATAATAAGCTTCCTTGTTTAACAATCTACCAAGCAACTGAGCTCTGAAGAAACTAAAAACATTTCAGTGGTTAAGAGAGTCTGTAAAATTTGTCATCAAAAGAACATAAGTGTTTTGAACATGAATTCAAAAATTCCTTTTCAATTCAGTATTCTTATAATTTTTACATCCTGGTCAACGACACCCAATCCCCTTACAAATCCAACTTGCTTTCCAACCTGCAAAAGTGAAGTGTTTTTACGTTGTGTGCCAAAAGACAAATTTACTGGTGAGGACAGACGACTTTTCCCTGCATTATATGCTGCACTTGGCAATCAGGGTAAGACAAAGTGTATTTCATGTGACGAGGGTGACAGACTTTCTGTTGAAAATGAAAATTGGCCAACAGGACAATGTTTTGCTGGGGTAAAAAGGCTCGGAATAAGGGGCTACAAGTATGGGAAATTATCAGGGCAAAAACTCTCCGTCCTCAACCCTTCCTCCCTAACGCATCTTTATATCACCAATGCAGGGATAATCGAATTGGACAACAAAACATTCGAAGCCTTTTTTAGGCTACAAAGTCTGAATCTAGACAATAACTTGTTAACACACATCCCTAGACACTGGTATACTGTTGTACACTCCCCGTTTCAGCTGCACAAACTATCGATTTCAAAGAATCACATCTCAAGTTTAGATCCGGGGTGCTTTGAAACACTGACTGGCCTTGATACGTTAGACTTACGGCATAACTTGTTGCGAGAAGTACATAGTCACTGGCTGGTAGGGATGAACAACCTAAGAACACTACTTCTTAGTGGTAACAGAATCCAAACAATCCTTCCACATACATTCGATTCGCTGAAACGGCTGCAGCATTTGGACTTCAGTAACAACGAATTAGTGTGTCTGCGAAAGGAAACATTTCTGACTCCAAAAAAACTTTTTAGAGTCGTCCTTGGTGGAAATAAGATTCTTGCCTCCAAGTCAGACACTGTGCACAGAATGCCCTGGCATGTGGTGCTAGAAAGTTGCGGATTATTAGACATACATGTAGAGCAAGATAATCATCAGTGGATACGACTTGAGGCCAACAGCATGGTTCTACATATCATTTATGAGCCGTCTACGGACTTGTTTTCTATTGATTGGTTCAACACGTTGGCCTACAAGTCTAAGGTGCCGATCAATCTGGACTCGTGTAACCCGCTAAGCAAAATGTATCGGTTGGGTCACTTTAGAGCTTATCCTCCGTTTGTTGTCGTAGTGAAGAACAGCGAAGCTAGTGCGGATACATCGCCTTTGACTCAATGTTCTGAGTCATGGGAAGAGTCTGGTAGTATTAGTTTTACTTTAAAGGGTGCATCTAACCTGCAAATCTATGGGATAAATACTAGTAGTAAGTTACGAGCGACTTCAGCGAAAGTGAAGGCTTTTAGCATTGTGGCAACCACGACAAAAAATCGAACAACAACTGACTCTCAAAGTGCAGGCAAGGCCGACGACCCTGGCAGAAACCTTGACACTTCAAGAGTGGCCTGTTTTTCCATCACTCATGATGAGATGCAAACACCTTATTTCTTCAACGCATCAGTGCCAAAGCAAGGTGAGGAAAGAAACTGTTTTATGAAGAATGGCGTTAGGAATGACAATCTTTACAATGCAGAAACAACTGCAATTATTGACAAAGGCTCTTTTACTAATGCTGACGACATAGACAGCAAAATGCAAAACACATCTTTCTCTACAACAAAAGCAACACTGATAAAGGATACCGTTGAGTCAACGTTGTTCACTCTCATATATCTAAATGGAACTGCTGCAAACACAGATCGAGTCACAAATCTAACGACACCTCTGCTAGTGGGCTCTGTACTGGCAGGCCAAGTTATTGTGATATGTTGCCTTGCTCTCTTCTGCCTCTGTGAGAGAAGTCGTAATGACAGAAATGAAGAAAGCAAGAGGGATAACAACGCCTCATTGCCCCAGAGAGGTACCACACGAGATAATTGTCAAACACAAGTAGACAGGAACAGACACGGTGATTCGACAAAGCAAGTCTGTCGTCCTGTAAGTGCCTACGATCAAATAAACGAGGACGAAGTCTACATTCCCTCGGGGCACCACTACCACGAAATCAAGGACGAGGACGTCTGCGGTGGACAGGTTTCACACGGCGGTCGAACAAATCTAAAAGACAACGCTCACAACGAAATAAATGAGGATGACGTGTACATTCCGTCAGGGCACCACTATCACGAAATAAAAGACGAAGACATCATCTCGAACCCGCCCTGTGCACATCCATATGAAGAAATAAAGGACGAAGAAACAGCCGATGCAAACAAGCAAGACTCACAAAACAAAAACGGTGAAAACAAAAACAAATACTCCTCAAAATTTTATGCCACAAGAGCTGAAGCACATTTGCCCACCAGTAGAGATGTTAGAACGAATACTTTATTATATAAGAGAGGTAAAGGTACAAGAGACTGGAAGCAGAAAGTTGTAAAACTTTATACTATTGAGGAAGAGAAGATAGAGGATACAGAAAAGTCCGACAGTGGCGAAAGTTGAGGTGCAGGATATGTCAAATCAAAAGTAGAAAGCTGAAAATTTTGAAGAGCACTTATCTTTCAAAATAGCCTTGGGCCATTACTACCGTATATAGGGCATGTGAGAATATAACAATGAAAATTCCTGAGCTCTACACTGTAGCCTTTATACCATCAGATACTGGTTAATAAATGATACTGATACATAATCTGGAATCAGACTTTGCTGCATTACAGGTTTATATTCTGATGTAAACATAACAAGCATACAAACTAACAGACAGAGATCCATGATTGTGTACCTGTGTTCTGAGGTTGTCTCCCTGCCCTGTCTACAGTGAGAGACCTGTGCACATGTTGTGGCAGACTGAACCGCGCTAGCTCTGTATCTGTATCTGTATAGCTTGTATAAATGCCTTTCGGTGTAACACACCAGCTGTGTTCATTAACAAACAAAGTAACATAACATACAGCCATAGATCCTTTAACTTCCAACATTAACTACAATGAATTGGGACTTACTTCATCAACCGTCTCGTGACCATAGTAGCAGGTCATTCGTGCCAGGTAACGTGTCGGCCCCCGTCTCTGTTCAGGGTAGGTGTATGAGCTCTTAAACTAACTAACAAAGTAACATATAAGTAATTTCAAGCAACTTTGACAGTGTCTATTTCTGGACAAAAGTCGTGATCTTGTTGATATTCTTGAATATGTTGGTTGATATGTGTACTCAAGTTTTAATTTACTTTGAAAAAGATCGTGTGATATATATTTTTTTTTAAATTTATGCTAGCCCTTGAAGTAAACATACCTTGTTCAGTGAGTGGAACGATGACAAATACATTGTGGATTAAATTTCTCGATATCGGCTCCACTGATTATTTTCAGGTTTTCAGTGTTAAAAGGTCCCGTATAGTAGTAATTAAATAAGTACTTCAAATGCGATTTCGAACTACCACTATCATAGATCAAATTTTAATGTCGCCAGAGGGCACAAACTGCAGTTTCCCAGGACGAAAGGTTCAGAAACAGGGCAATCGGCTCTTCTATAAGTACAAGTCATATGAAAGATGAAGAACCAGTGTATCTATAGACTCTATATCATATCTCTGAAAAAACTATAACGCGGCCAACCATCTGAAGACAAACTATTAAAATTCTGAATTCAGCTATTGTTTTTAAGTATAATCAAATTTTAATGTATTGCTTTGTTTGTATGTTGTTTTGATATATGAACAATAACAAAAATTAAAGTATTATCCTGACAATGCTTCCTTAAAATGTCTTATTCAAATACTAAAGATGCAAACTATTACAATTCTAGAGACAAACTATTACAATCTTGAGATAAGTAAAATCCTACATAGAAAAAAACATAACTTTAGAAACGAACTATTACAATTCTGAGACGATTACAACTCTAAAAACAAGCTATAATTACAATTCTAGAGACAAGCTATAATTACATTCTATTACAATAGAATTAAACACCTATTCTTTTTGATAGTAAATAGAAACGACTACCTATATCTCTGTGTATATAAGTGTTCATCTAACAGTGCTTCCTTAAAATATCTTAATCAAATACTCTGGATACAAACTATTAAAATTGAGAGAAAAACTATCAAAAGGAACTTCAACACCTAAATAGAAATTTTAACGAATACCTAATAGTATATATTTGTTAAAGTGTTGTTCTCACAGTGCTTCCTTAAAATTAGATACACTGGATACAAACTATTACAATTCTAGAGACAAACTATTGCAATCTTAAGATAATTACAATTCTAGAGAGATAAACATAACTACTCTAGAAACGAAAGATTACGATTTTGAGACAATTGCAACTTTAGAAACAAGTTATTACAATTTTAGAGACAAATTAGTACAATTCTAGAGACAAAATATTACCATTCCAGAGACATTTACAATGAAATTGAACAGCTACAATTTAGATAGAAATTTTAACAAATACCTATTTATATAGGTATATATTAGGCACACAGGGCGTTGTTTTCGCTGTAACACCTCATGCATGCTACAAACATCTTTTTAAAGTGCTATCCTTACACAGTGCTACTTTAAGATTACTAATCAACTGAGCCTAAATTTGAGGTACTGTGAAATGAAGGTGGCCCAATAAATTCTAAAGATTGGTTGTTTTCTTCAAGGATAAGCATGGGGACTAGTCGACTATGGTTGTTATGGATTCTCTGCCATCTTAGCAAACAGAGTTTTAAGGTGGCTTAGAAACTCTTGGTCATTTCCACTGACACCAAGTTCCTGCAGGAAAGTCGGGAGTACAGAGTAGAACCTGACCTTGCGGTCACAGACCTCACAGAACGGTTTCCCACCAGGGCTGTCTCCATCTAGTGCTACAAATTCTACAGGTGATGTACCGAAAACTTTCACTGTTTCAAGATACTTTTGAAGCAGTAAAGTGAGGACATTGTCTTCTCCACAGTGACACTGTTTGAGACGCCTTTTCAGTTCTTTGAGGAATTCTGTTGGCAGTATGTCCAGTTCCTGTTCCAATGTACCCAATTTACTTCTTGATATACGTCCAATCACGTCAACTGCTTTGTCATCAAGATACTCAACTGTCTTGAGTTCATCGAGTTTTGGTTCAAACTTTTTATTCTTTCCGCCAACAGACACCATGGTCCATATCTTCTTCACGAGTTCCGCTGTATTTCCAACTTTTTCTTTCAAGTGCGTATTAGTAGTTAATTCATGTTTTATTGAATAGTCTGCTTTATTCAATCGTGATACCACGATGTCATAGTATTCTCCGTAGTCCAAGGTGTCCAAATCATTCCGATTATGCGATATTAATGACTGTGATGATTTTTTGTCATCGCATACAATATGTGTGGTTAGTGACTCTAAATCTCTGCGAATGGATTCTTGCAAAGCACTGAACACGGATAGTATCATATTTTGGCTCAGCAGTTCTTTATCAACATTGCATAAATAGATGACCCTGTTTTCTTTATGGTTTTCCTGATCAAAATCTGATTTGTTCTCCTCCCACCATTCGGCTGGTATCGAGTGTAGCTGTTTGTTTGAGCCACTTGAACCAGAAAACGCGTAACATCGAAACTCTTTTCCATCTGCTTTAAAAGATGAACGGACCATGGTCCACTTGTTCGGGGGCTCACTACCAAGCTTTGCTGCTGCATATGTTCTTACAGACTCATACATTGTCTTGTCTAGCTCGTCTACTTTTGGGCCGTCACCAGTAGTTTCATCTGATTTGCTTCCACATAATTCCGCATATAGAGGTCTTCCCATTATATCTGTTAGTTGGTTCCCACTGGAATCACGCACAGGAACCGTATCTCCACCCCCAGCTAATGCCTGTTTTAACGTATCATCTGGTTTGCTCATCATGTGCCAAAAAGAACCAAAAGCACGTCCCTTTGAGAAAAATGCAATATTTCTTATTTGCTTCTCCAACACAGCGACCTTACTGTCTACACTTACTTCTCTATCACAGAAAAAATCTCTAAATCTCTCTGACCACTTGTGTATATGATGAAACACCATGCACTTGTACTCGTCATTTGGAATCCGTTCTGCTAGGTCAACTTCGAATTCTCTGTACCTCCTGTCGTCCAGGAACAGGCTGTCCCAATACTCAATAGAACAATGTTCTTCACGAAAGACACCTTCCCAAAAAGACTCTTCTGTATATTTCTCATTAGATTGGGCCACCTTCATCCCACTAAATAACACCACAGTTTCATTAGATTTCAACCAAGAATTAACAATTTTAACGGCTGCCTTTGCTTCATTTGGTTCATTCTGGTGAAGGCCATATTGCCTAAGGGAAGCCTCTCCTCTCTCTAATAGTTCATCAAGAGGTCCAGCAGGACAATACACTTCATGCACTTTGAAACTCATCTTAAAACCTAGAACAGTAACGCTGGAACTGAATAGATTTAAGTTAAATCATTTCTTTGTCACTAAAGGGATCGCTCTCAGCATTGCTACTTATCTGTAGTTACCATAATATTCATCTGTCGAAACATTATAGCAAATTAAGGGAAGACACATGTTTTGGAATGCAGAAGCGAGAAGACATCAAATGAGCAATAATAAAATTCATAAGCACTATTTTTAAAAACATAGACAATTGATATTGAATTTGATTGTACTAGTAGTATGAATACATTATCAAGGTACCAGCAGCGCCAGTTTTGGGGGGGTTCACTTGCGGTTGTCTCGGGCCAGCTTTCCAATCCCTGCAAGTGCGGCGACCGCTACCGCTACAAGATAAGTACAAAGCGATATGTCATGAAAGCAATTGATATCTTATGGTTGGCTGTTTATGAATATGCGAAGTGAGAACAAAGGGTGTTTGACAGAGAAAATGTAATGTACATTGTACATGTAGTTCTTAGTGATTTTGATAAGATTACGCGTACTGGTAGGTTGTAGTCTTTCATGAATTGTAATGTCCATGCACGTACATTATACCGCGGTCTGACCCGCTTACCCCGTTAATTACCCTTGCAATGTGTGAAAACGCTTGTTTTCACTGTGTGTGTGTGAGGGGGGGTGCTTGTGTTTTAGTGGTTTTCGGAATAAAGTAGAGTCACCGGAAGTGAGGGTAAATGGTGAAACCGCGCCTGACAGGAATGTCAACATGACCTCCCTACAGGCTTGGAGGAAATGAATGGCATGGCGAAGGTAAAAAGAACTCGAGGATGTGCGTTAATGCACAGCATCGGCGAGAAATTAACAATAATAAATGAAACAAGTAAATGCATCACGGATCCGGAAATGTGAAATATTAGATTGTTTTACTCGTTATGGTGTACACTTGTCACGAACATTTTGCAGAATCACCAATTTTAAAAAAAAAATATTTAGCACCAATCAATTGCCAAATAATAAGACCATTTCTAGATGGCATAGCAAGATTTATGAAAATATTGACGATACACAGCAGTTTGAATTCTAGGGGATTGTGAGTTATGTCAGAGACAAAGGACCCTGTTGCATTACAAATCGTGTCATTCAAAAACATGGATCAGTTGCACCACGATTTGAAATGTTTCATAACGTGGTCGACAACGCTGTCTAGCATCAATCAGTGTTTTGTACAGTGGGCCATCAGGGACGCCATCTTGTGTCTGCCAACAAAGTAAGATTTGTTGTACGTCTGTGTGTTTGTGTTTAGATTAGGGTTAAGGCAAATACGTGATTGCGAACCTCATATTTTGGGATGGATCATGTTTTGGAATGCAACATACATTTCACTTCGTGTAATTACAAAACATGTTTGGCAATGGACCACATTTCGGAATACAATTGCATTCCACTTCGTAGTGTTCATGTTTTTTTTTGGGGGGGGGATGCAACACAGAACTGTTGACAAGGTGGCCTTAACCTTTGACATAGGCGTATACACACCTGAACTGCAAATTAACTTTGAAGTTTACACCTTGGCATTATTCCAAATCAGCAGTGAGCCTGCAACGTCTCTGTGTTACACTTGTTACCCACTTGAACCCATTCGCCATGTGTAAAACGTTATAAAAGAGTTGTAGGAATTTTTATGATTTCACAACTTACCTGAACCTTGACTTCGGATAGCAGCACTAGTAACAAACGGTTAGCACGACCAGCACGACGACGTCGGTAGCCACAGGCTGGCATGGGCGGCAAACACAGACGGCTCAAGGCTGCATTGACAAAAGAGGACTTTAGTCCTTTGTAACTGTTGGCGTATACGAAAGTAAACACCATCAAATATCAAACGATAGGCGACGTGTCCCTACTAGGGTACCGGGAGAATCCTGCCAATTTCATGCACCATGGGGGTGGGGTTTGTTTGCCCAGGTGTGCCCAAAGGTTTTCCGATACATTACGAATCGTACTGGAACAAGTCACTCTGTACAGAACTTGCCAGCTCACATTTGGTTGTAGATCTGTAACGTATCTGACTTATTAGCTCTACATACTGCGGCAGAGCAGGCAGACGTCTAAAGCCCGCAAACCTCTTGTAAATGCAATCCGGCTTAAAACAAACAATGGAACGCTTAACATTTCATCACGTCTGTTCTGTTGTCATGTCTTTTTTCTAGTTGTTGGCCTGTTTTTTTGTCAATTTCTATGATTTTTGTTAACAACAACAGCTTCACGATTTGTTTGTGAACAGTTAATACATGCACAAGCACAACGTAAACAGGAGGCAAATGGCAGAAACTATCCGCAGGTAAGAGGCACCTGGTAGAACTCGGTCGCCATCTTGTCTATAAACTTGGGTGTCGCTGCGTCTTTGGGACTCAGCGAAAGAGTCTCAAATAGTCTTTCTGCCGTAACAGTTACTTACCTCGTCACACGGTACTAGTCACAGTTGTCTGTCGGCCTCGGGTACGATGGAGTACACGGCGAAACAGGACTAGAGCAGCTGAATGCGACGGTACAGCTACCGCGTCACGTACTATTTCGTCCCCTTTTATTTGCACAGCGTATCACTCCGCGGTCCATGGTAACGTCAATGCTAAGGACGCGCCTCCAGAGGCAGAGGGATGAAATTTCATCCTACTCTGACGGCTGATTACATCATTGTGTATCACATATTAAGTATCACATGCCATATACGGACAGAAACTAGGACGGGCGGTCTTTTTGTTAGTGTATGTGATATTGTGACAGACGTATATAGATGAAGAAAAAAAGCTAGCAAATATTGCGATAGTCCATTTGCAAAAGTAGTTTTAAAGTAAACAGACCCATGTTTATGTTTATTCCATGATTCAGTTGTTCCGTGCATTATATTTTATTCGTCTGCAAGCTAATTCAGTCCTCTGTTGAATACAAATTACAATACGAGTAAACCATTGTTGACAGACGTTGTTACCAATTCCTCAATTAAGATATTCAATTTACAGCTCTAGTTGTTTACACTTTGTATAGCGGAAGGAATGTTCTTATAACGTCGAGAATTGAAAATGAAAACTTATGGATATATACTTCAGCTTGCTTACTGGTAATCATTATATGGTTATTTGATTAAAGTACTTAAAGAAACATTGTATGGTTGTTAAAAGAAGGACAGATGATACATACAGTTTGTACTGGTTCAAGCAACCGGTCTTTTTGCATACAATGATCAGAATACTGAGAACTGTACATACCTTAGAATTATATATAACTTCCTATTTTAAGTACTGCACATTAACATTGTATCCAGTGAACAACAGTAGGGCTCCTACTGCAAACGCCCCTTTTGTGTTATTGTGTTTGAACCTTTTATCTTAAAAAGCTGAAGGTAGGACAAACATTGTCACACACAAGCGAGTCACTCCCAGACACTGTCCCTTAGTTGAACCAAGGGGATCCTATGATCCATGGCCTTTGCGTTCCACTTCATGTGGAGTAATGTGTCATTGTGTGTGTGGATGTGTGTATGTGTGGGGGGGGGGGGGGTATATTAAAGGCCATAGGTCATTTGGCAGGCGCCCCTAGCGGTCATGCTGGGGGTCCTTTTATGGTAATTATCACCATTATTATTAAGGGTTGTATAGTGTAATATTTGATGTGTACTGTAGCAGTGTAGTGTAATAATACCTGCTGTCTTTTAGGCGTAGGTCTGCAGTTTCACGGGTCTGTATTATGGAAACACATTCTACAAAGCAACTTACCGCCACAACGGCTTTTAAAAACGGACCGATATAGAACTTTCATTCTGCTTTGTTCTGAACTTAAGTTAACGATGGTGCTTGCCTATTGTCAAATGTAATTTGTCTATTTTATTGCTTTAGTAAGTGTGTATTTGTTTATGTACCCGGGGAAACTTGAAAAACGGGCCAAAGACGTGTACTGGTGAATATGAAATGAAAAATACAATTAAATACATTTAAGTAAAATATAAAAATAAGATAGAATAATATGTGGAGCAACGTGGGTAGGGTACCCAAGTCATTTGGCTGGCGACTCCAGAAGTCACACTGAGGTAGTCATAACTTAAGATTTCTGTACAAAGCCAGCCTATCATTTACTAAGGTAAACCAATGCAAATATACGTGCCCAGTTATCATTCCAAACACTAAGTCAGACACATTTTTACTTCAGATCTTTTCCTATGTACATGGCACAGGTACCTTTATTGCATATTGGTGACATATCCGACACTAAAACTGAATTCGCTCATAGTACGATGCTTTAGCATTGTACTATGATTACGATCAACACAGATGAAATTCTATTATAACTGGATTCTCTCGAATGATAACCTGTCAGTACATAGGAGATTTTTCGTAGGCCACAACACTCATAATCCAATCAACGGTACCAGTCTGTTTCCTTATAATTCAATTGCAGAGAACAAATCTGTGTTTTAGCATGCTATAAATCTCTTGATTCACAGAAATGGTATTTTTACATGTAGATGTAATTCACAACTATACAGGCTAATCACACAAATCAATGAAAAAAAGCATGTATCAGTCAGACCTTTCGATCATGAAGCCGTCACTTAATAAACGTCAAGCAGGTATCACTGGTGTACACTTCCTCAGGAAACGGATCCCGCGGCGAGTACCTGTAGTTGTAATAGTGTTAAAAAAAACAGTTAGTTACTACTGTACAAACTAATTTGTCAGATAGACTGTATACTGGAGAAATCCCATACAAGACCACACACGTCCACATTTCTTCATATACCCATTGCGCGGATGGAACACATATATTATAATGTTCTGTATGTACTTAGCACATATCTCTTCTGTCAAACTCTTCTCGTTTGTCTTGATTTATAAGCTAACATAATTTACCATGACCTGGAATGTGTTTGCACTTCTAGTGTGACAGTTTATGTAGAGGTTTTGTAATTTGCAGGGAGTCGTCACTATAAGTGCTGTTCAGTAGTTAGTCTGAGATTGAGTAAAAGTAAAACCAGTAATAGGGAATTAGGTATCATTAACTAAATTGTGGTGAAACTTAGTATGCTGTACCCAGTTAAGGTAATACTCACGACAGCTCGTCCAGTTTTGGGTGTTCCTCAGCAGCCTGCATCACAACCTTGAACCCTTCAGACCCCACGGAGATGTTAGACAGGCTCAGCTTCTCCAAGGCAGGGAGTCTGGGTAGAGCTTCGGCCAGAGTAGAGGCAGCGGTGTCAGATAGGTGTGCGGGTTCATCATAGTGACCAGACAAGTCGAGCTCGGTCAGTGACGGCAGTGCGCTGATCAGCTGTGTAATCGTCTCCAAAGTAGCTCCCGTCACTCCTTTATTTATACCGATGTGCAGCTCCTGTACTGTGGAGTTACCGTCCACCAGCTGGCAGATAGTTTGAACCAGTGAGACGATCCCTGATTCATCTATGTTATTGTACCTTACATCAAGAACCTGTAATTCCGGCAGATGAGGCAGAGCTTCGACCAAAGCAAATATTCCCCGGTCAGTGAAACCTATGTTCCACATCTTTAACACCTTCATGCCTGTGAGGTGAGGGAGGTGGTCAACCAGGCATTCCAGTCCAGGGTCACCTATGTCGATATTGTTGCTAATGTCCAGTTCCATCATTTTGGTTAGCTTACACAGTGTAGGGACCAGTGTGCGCATGCCTGCGGAGCTGATACGAGTCCTTCTCAGGCCCAACACCTGCAAGGCGGTGAAGACGTGGAGCACGTCGGTGAGAGATTCCAACCCGGTGTCGCCGATCTCATTGTCAGTTATGTCCAGTTCTCTGAGACCCGCAAGGTGACGCATATATGGAGTCATCGATGCAATGCCTAAAGCTGTCATGCCGTCTCCAAAGTAGCCACGCAGACGAAGTACAGTTAGCTTTGGAATACTGGACAGTCCATCCTTCAGGACATCCATCCCAGCATCACCAAGGTCAGGGTTCAAAGAAAGATCCAGCTCCTCTAACTGAGACATGTGGCTGAACTCCTGCACAACTTGTTGGAGTGATGAGGGTGTCAGATTTGCAAACGATAAGTTTAGCGCCATCAGACCAGGAACATTCTTCAGAACTGAAACCAACTTGGCACTTTTATCAGGTGAACCAAATGATGGAATCCTTACTCTCAAATCTAACCGCGGATGATGACAGAGGGTGTCAAAAAAACGTTCTAGGTTCTCAGGAACACCGTCAAAATGGACAAAAAGTATGACTTTGCTAGGATGCTGCGATGGCAAGTAAGCCAAGTAATACAAAAGATCATATTGTGGCTTAGTGCGAAGGTCTATGAAGATAACAGGTAGGGCACTGATGGCAGCCCTCAGTACGTCCTGGTCTCCCCTTCTTTCCTGCAGGAGGTCAAGGCAGAGGAAAGTAAAGTATTCATAAGCTCTCTTTGTATTCTCATTATCTGCCTTTATTCGTTCCTTAAACCTACCTACATGCACATGTGGAAACACTTTGCTACGGAGATTGCTCAGCTCAGTAAAGATAGCTTGTGCCACTTGTGAATTAAAGCCACACGTGAACCGAAGCAGGTTCTTGAGTTGAAACGCCTTCCTTACAGAGGAGAGATCCAACAGTTCACCAACGTCTTGGTTCACCAGAGCATGTGAGACATATCTTCCGGCAAGGAACTCTTGCATCGTCTTGTGGGAAAAGTTCAGTTGTTTCCTTGGATGCAATTTAGAGGCAGAAACTTCCAAGGAGACCACGCCCAGCTTTAGCAGTAACTCCCAATTCACATTTTCTCTCTCTACTTCTGCAAGATCTATAAGGGCCTCATTCCTCTGCAGTGCCTCTAGAGCTAGCTTGCCAAAATGCAGTAATGAATCCGCCACTTCTGTAGGCAGCCCGTCTGTTGGCATGTCCACCCCTTCCCGCTTACAATACTTTCTGACTAGACATGTCAGCAGGTTGCCGTACGGCCCCGTCCTTGTTCCAGTAGACACCGTCTCTTGGTCCTCCTCCCACAGCACACAAACCAAAAGCAGGAAAATAGGAGTATGGATCAAATCTTCTGCAATACGGCTTTCTGAACGGACCGTGATAAACTCAAGAAAAGGAATATTACGCGAACTTTCAATACTGAAATGCTGGTTTATGAGGTGTTCTCCTTGTTCGGAGTTTTTACTGAAATACTGCCTGATATATTGTACCACCTGTGCGGTGGAGAAACCCAAGACGTGTACATGGCAGTCTGGCCGAGTGTACTGCTGCACTCCTGCCGAGGGTCGGGAGGTGATCACGATTGTGCTGTTGGGGTACAGCTTGCCATCCAGCAGTTTGGGAATAGCCTGTCTGTCAGCCTTGGCTTCTGGCCGAAGTTCATCATACCCGTCGAGGAGAAAGAGCACTCGGGACTCGTTCCTTTGTAGGATTGCTCTGATAGACTCTACATCAACACCCTCAGTTGTTTCAGGAACACACTGGTCCCAAACCATCTCGTCTATGGTCTCCCCTTCTCTCACCTCCCGGAGTCGGATCAACAGGACGATGTCGTGTCGCTTGCCCAGCTCTGTCTTCTGTGAGAGGGCATCCAGGGCTGCTTTGGACAGAAACGTTGTCTTCCCTCCTCCAGCTTCACCCTCAATCAGAATGCACCTTGGTGCTTTGGCTTGACCTGTGCCATCGTCGGGTTTGAACAAGTCGTCTAATGATTTGAGTTTTGTTCCATGTCCTCGCCAGACCTGGTTTCCGTCTGACATTTTGAGTTGTTTCTCTTGTATTGGTATCAACTCTAACTGGGTGAAGATGTCACTAAGAGTAACAGTGAAGTTGTCATTCCAGATCAGAGGCTTGAAGTAAGTCAGTTTCAACTCATAGTACTTTTGCACAGACTTCTGGAACAGTTCTGAAATAGAAAGGTCACCGATGCGAGACGATCCGACTGCCTCATATAGCTATCTAAATAATAGTTGATGATGGAATGCTTTTCAAGTAATACTTGTATACAACTATATTGCGTCAGACGTCTGTGAATAATTTCATCAGGTTGGGAAATGATTGAATATCAAATTCACACCCGCTTTTTAAAACAAGAGCCGGCATTTAGATTGCAGCCTTTCATCTTCATCAGGGCTAATATACCTGGTGTATTATATTGTGCACTGAAGCTAGGTATTGCTGGTTCACTGTGCACTGGGGCTATGGTTCTTGGTTTACTGTGCACTGAAGCTAATTATTACTGGTTTACTGCACTGAAGCTAGCTGTTACTGTTTCACTGTGCACTGAAGTTAGGTGTTACTGGTTCACTGTGTACTAAAGCTAGATGTTACTGGTTCACTGTGCATTGAAGCTAGGTATTACTGGTTAATTATGTACTGAAGATAAGTATAGCTGAAGCTAGATGTTACTGGTTTACTATGTGCTGAAGCTAGGTGTTACTGGGGGTTACTATGCGCTGGAGCTAGGTGGTGCTGGTTCACTGTGCATTGAAGCTAGGTGTACTGGTTTACTATGTACTGGAGGTATGTTTTCTGGTTCACTGTGCACTGAAACTAGATATTACGGGTTGATTACACTAAAGCTAGCTGTTACTGGTTCACTGTGCACTGAAGCTAGATGGTACTGGTTTATTATGTGCTGAAGCTAGGTGTTACTGGTTTACTGTGCACTGGAGCTATGTGTTACTTGTGCACCCACCGTGCATTGAAGCTAGGTGTTACTGGTTTACTGTACATGTGTACCGGAGCTAGATGTTACTAGTTTATTATGTGCTGAAGCTAGGTGTTACTGGTTTGCTATGCGCTGGAGCTGTATTACTGGCCCACTGTGCATTGAAGCAAAATGTACTGTAACAATACTGTCCCATGCGTAAAACAATTGTACCATAACACATATAGAATTCAGTCCAGTCATGAACCGCGATGCATATATTTGGGAGTTGGGAGTTAAAGGCTAATTCATGTTTGGGACCACATTAATACCTGGCAATCGTTTTAATTCTCTATCATTGTGATTTAATTTTCTATCATTGTGATTATTATCAATATTTTTATGTGACAAATTTAGATTTAGGGCCGCATTAGCTCAGTGTTGTTGATTATCACTAAATGCCATATATAACTATGCTTTCAATTTGGAACTGCACGTGACACTAATGCGGCTAAAATATAAATTTGTCACATAATTTCATAATAATGGCACAATGGCAAAATTTAAGATCATTATTAAAACAATTGCCAGGTATCAATTTGGTCCCAAACATGACTTAGTCTTTAACTCCCGACCCCCATATACATGTACATGCATCACGGTTCATTACTGGAATGGATTCTATGTAATATGTTATGGTACAATTGTTTTACACTTGACTGGGGTGAATTCTATGATCTATACTCCACAATCAATCGAATAAATCTGTTGTATTCTCGATCTATCACCTTGGTGCCTCAATGCGCAGTAAATCAGTAACACCTAGCTTCAGTGAACAGTGAACCAGTAACACCTAGCTTCAGTGTACAGTGAAACCTAGCTTCAGTGCATATATAGCAAACCGGTAACACCAGTTTTAATGCACAGTAAACCAGTCATATTAGCCCTGATAAAGATGAAAGACAGTCCTTGAAACGTAGGCTCGTGTTAAAAAAAGGGCGTAAAGAAATGTTCTATTCAGCTTTGATAGACGTTTATTACAGGTGTACCTGGTTGGAAAACATTTTGTAACAAGCAAAAGGGAAGGAGGAATTTAGTAGCGATTTATACACAAACACAATGGTAAACAAGAGTTCGGAGATCTCATACCTCCATGAAATGTTTAGAGCTTTTGTTTGTAAATTTGGTTCTTTACTTGGTCTAATACATTGTAAAAAATAATACATTGTAAAAAGAATTACAGAATTTATATAATTTATTTTGATTGATAGTCTTTTCTACTTAAATTACATGATAGTGTGTGAAAGTCCTATCCTCCTGAATCTTATTACTTTTTTTTAAAATTACGATGACCACAAATATGCAGAAACACAGGCACACATACAGACAAATCCAAAACAATACCCATTGTTCAGGGAGGTACTTAAACCATGAAGCTATGTACAGCAGATATTCGAGATTCCTTACCTTTCATTTCCTGTTGGCTACTTGAGGCTTGTGATGTCTTCAACTCTATATAGATGGAATATTCAACCATATGAATATCGAAAACTGTTCCACTTCTTTTGCTTCATTGCATAATAAAATTACAAAGTTGTAGGTTTCTAATATCAAAATTTTCACAACTTTTACAAGAAATTACATTAAGAATGTTAGGGCCATCTTTCACAATTCTAATGTAGAAATATCCCTCCTTTCCTAACTGAACAGGACACATAAAATCCCATACAATAATGCACACAATCTCTTGCTGTAAAATGAAATGAAAGAAAACTACATACCAGGATATTTGTTCTTTAGTCCGTCCACTGTACTTTGTAGGTTTGACTGAGACAGAGCCTCCATCAGGACCTCTACGGTGGCTCTCTCCCCGTTACACTTGAGCCATTCCTCCAACAGGTCCATACAGCGGGACTTGTCATCCAGGTTTCTACCGGAAATGTTGTCAGTGTCTGACCGCCGAAAATCAAGATGGAAGGCCAGGTCTTTCCAATCTGAGCTGACATTCTCCTTAATGAAAAAGAAGTACTTTCTCACTCCTGAAAAAATACAAAGGGACATTTTTAAGCTCATAATTTGTCATCAATCATAATAAAAAACAATGGAATATGTAACAAAAACAATATTCTATAAGTTATAGTATCAAGTTAAACGTAAACTTTTTTTGTGGCAGAAGACTACGCCTGTTTTTAATAAACAATTATGGTACTTTAAAAGGGTTGCCAGATACTAGTAGTACCTACATGTATTTCTGCTATTCAAATTTATGTCATGATGCCAGTATTTCTGGCGATACAACCACAGATTGCCAACTGTGTTTAATATTTCACAATAAAGCTTACTGTAAATTTAAAGTTCCTTACCTGCTGTATTGTCATGTTTGCCTTCAGCCATCGCGACGATTTAGTTGTAGGAGTTGCATATGTTGTTAAATCTGCAATACAAAAAGAATAAAAAAGTCTAAGAAACATCTTTAGACATTTCCTCTGTTCAGACAACCTCCTTGAATCAGGTAAGTGCGTCCTCTCTCATTGGTTATGAAAATAAGGTACTCATTTGGATAAATCATCAGTTGATGATCGTCTTTGCTCCGATATCACAAGTTATCCTTTCTAAAAACAACAAGGGCGCTGTGGCATTTTAATTTCTCACCTATCATGCAAATGAGGCCCCGATTTCATTATGGTTTTAAATATATCATATCATGTGCAAATATAGACGTCACCAATGAAGTATGTAGGTATATTTCAAAATGTTTCAACAAGAGAGAAGAAGCCATTAGAACTTAGATCTATACCACTTTATATATATATATTTCTTTTTTTAGCATATCTATACCTTAGACCTGATGTTAGCCTTTCTTTATTACTATTGTTGTAGTAGTACTTCCGAGTACATTGTACTTTGTACATCCGTGCATTTATCCCCCCGGGGAATGAACATGCAATAAAGTTTCATATAACATCATATAACATATTCATAATTACTTCATTTACAAATAACACAGCTTTAAAATTCCTATCAATTACCATGTAGTATCATAGCAAGTTCTTAGTGATTACAAATGAGACCTTGTGTATGGCGTGGTATATATGCCGCTTTGCCCTACTGGTGACTCGGGACCTGTTGCCCGTTGTCATGACGACAAGATTACGGCCGTCATTTGAGTAACATGTCTTTGTAACGGCTGTTTACTTTCCCACCTCACCTGTGTGCAGAGCTAAATTTGTAAAGCAAACAGACCGGGGAAAACCGACTGGGGTAAACGTTAGCCTCCTTCGCAGTCTTGTTGGGCGTCGGCGTTATCTTTTTCTGTGAGCGACGCGAGTAATATGCGGCTGGGAGGCCTAGGGACGATTTGCTGCCGAGGGAGTTTTTGCCGCGGAGAGAAGGCAGCATATCGTCCCTCGCGGCCGTATATCACAGAAAAAAATAACGCCAACGCCCAACAAGACTGCGAAGGAGGCTAGGTAAACGTGACCAGTTCGCTGTTGTTATGCGGGATGCGTAAGGTAGCCAGGAAAAACAGTTGAATCACTTACTAGCTAGTACTTTCCTTTAAAAAAAAACATGCAACCATGCAGGCCAGTAGCTGTGGTGGCTAAACTCGGAAGCCGAGTTTACGAATTTTATGTAACTACGCATAAAGCATAAGGCTTCCTTAGTCCGGAAGGCTAGCTAGCAGGACAGCAAATTCGTCCAATTCATTCAAATTGATATTTTCATGTGGTACGTATATAGTGACTTTGATTTCCCGATTCTACCTCCCGGTTCGTGATGTCATGATCAAAAACACTTACCTCAGGAGTCGTTTGAGGAAGTTTCCTGTAATACTATCCTACGATTTGCCTGCGCCTTTGTTTTCAACTCTACAAAGAGTTAACGTCCTTTAGAACTGTTTTCTGCTGGGCTTTTGAATCTTGACAGTTCCCTTGCCCCCGTGGTAGTATGACGGACCGATTTGAACAGGTTAAACTTGATTTTTACAAAGTTTTAGTGCTGCTGCCCCCCAGCCACCGCCATGGTGGGAGGCCAGGGGCTGGAACAGTCTACTCCGTTCCCAGGGGAAGATGTGACGTCATTGGCGCCACCAATCATATTGAGTCAAGGGTGACCGCTATTGACCTTACGGTACAATTCCGACCAAACAGATGAACATCGAAGTTGCATGAAACTGACCAAGTTTATTTTGCAGGTGTTTTATAATATATATTTATCTGAGAAAATGTAGCTGTGGGTGTGTAGGCAGGAACTGATCATTCATGGGCTTCTGCTATGGCGTCGCCAAAAAAAGTGAATTAATGCAGTTCTGAAGAGGATCGTCAGGCGACGTTTTTGATCCGTGAGAATGTTGCTTCTAGACTATTGCAGTTCTAGGAGGTATTTCTAGGCAACGCCTGGGCTATATGGACGTCCCCTCGAAGTCATGGTCATGGATATAAGCAAGTTAACTACTATTAAAAGGTATTGGAATTTGACAGTCGAGGCATTAACTACTCGTGGCTAGACAATGTAAAAGTAAATATTATGCATTAGCTTTGCAAATGTTACCTTTAAGTTGGTTTCTAGTTGATTGCTATCTTGTAAGTTGACTTATAGATACTACAATTCGTAGATCACTGCAGTTTTCAAGATAATCATAATCAAACTTTATTGCAAACTAGTGGCCGAAGACTGATCTCAAGGGAACAGACAGATACGTATATGGTAAACAATGTCTAAACTATACATCTATCAAATGTTTCTACATACATTACTGGAAGGTTTAACCTCTTCTTTGGAACCAGAGGCTAATTAATACACAGAGTCCCACATTTTTAATTATGTTTTTTTTATTAGCTCAGCAGAAATATTGTTTTTTAGGTTTTCTAGATAGCAAACACTTGGAGAGATGGTGACAAAAGTCTAAAAATTAAATCATTTTCACTCCATACATTGCAGTCTCATATATTCTATATTCAACTAACATAATTATTAGAAATTGTTACTTGGTATACACTACACAGGCTAGAGGTGGGGGAATATTAGACGACATTTGGCATTGTGTTGCAGAAAACTGCCGTTGCTTAAGCCCTCTCCATTGGTTATTAGGAAATGTTATATTTCTACTTCAGGCCGACCATTTTCTCGCTGAGCTCCCAGAGTTTCTTGGCAACTGCTTCATCTTTGGCCTCTGGAATCGGTTCTTTCGGAGCGCAGTCACTAAGATAAACAAGGAAACATAAACAACAACATAGTGAACAAGTGGCTATCATCAGATTTTCAAAGTCAATATTGTAGTCACTGATATACATACTAACTTGAAACAACACTGTCCCAATGTATGAACAGGAAGGGGGGACTGCGCATAGAACTCTCAAGCACATGGGATCCCGCCCTGCCACAGCCCAAGGGACAGTAACATTTCCTATGGTAATTTCTTACCACAGGAACCTTCCTTACATGACAAAGACTCTTACGGTTGTTGAACAGGTTTTTCTAGTTCTAATGCCTGTACATTGAGTGAACCGTTCTTTTACATGATAAAGCTTCTTACGGACCTTGTTGTTTAACCGGTTTTTCTAGTTACTCGTATATAAGAGTGAATCGGTTCTCTGTTCATTTGTGACGCTGAAGAAGAGTGATGGATGTCACTCGAAACGTCCGGAAATAAATCCGTTAACTGATCCAGTAGTAGAGTTTGAATTTTCTTACGAGTCCCAATGTATATCGACATTTATGGAGCAAAAATTCCCAAATTTCTGACGAAAAACGGAAGGAACAGTATTCATTCGTAGGGTACCACTCAGAAAACAAGGACTTTATCTTTGGGTTTGTTTCTGCAGTTTAAAATGGATTGAGTATGAACTACTGAATTTCAAATGTGCTAATGTGGGATAGTATGTGTCAACAATATACAGATTACCTTATTCAGAATATGTTTTTTGCAATGACAGTGATAATGGTTGATATTGAAAACCCATGTCCACTATTGTACATATTTGTATATAGTGTGTTTCTGTTTACTTGTCTTGTTTTTTTAACCAATTGTAAAAATCGAATACAAAAACCAGGGGTGCATCAGCATTTCCTGCTTTTGTGCGATTTTGTTTGATTGAATAAATTGAATTGAAAACAAGAATTCCGAGACTTCATACCTCCATGAAATATGGGCTTGATATGTAAATGTAAATTTCCTCTTTAATTATGCAAATTACCTCCGCATTAACATGATATATGCATCGTGATGTATGTTAACTTTTGATTAACTTACAGATGTCCAAAGTATGACATTCCCATTATTCACCATTAAGAAATCATAGAATTTTTGCATAAATTATGCAAATTAGGTCATCATTTGCATAATTAGTATCTGTTGATGTTCTGCCTGCCATAGGTTACATACATTACATGTATGAAAGTAGTATAATGTAAAACACTGTAATCATAGAATTTCCTCATTAATTATGCAAATAAAGTCCTCATTTGCATAATTTGCATTTAATCATGTACATCTCTCTCTTAGCTACCTACACACCAAAAATTATGAAAATATGTTGTTCCTATCTGGACTTATTGGCTTTTAAACATTTCGCCAGAAAGTGCCCTGCAGTTCCAAAACAAGCTGCTAGGGGGACCAAACTCACACCACTTATTCCTGACAGGAAAAGCAATCTGTCACCAAAACATCAAGACCATAGCATGTTCAGGACAAAAGATACAAAAACCGGAAGTTCTGCTGCAGTACCAAGGTCATCCACCAGGAGGCCCATATTTGACCTTGACGTTTGTCTTCCTAAGACTAACCAACATACCAAATATCATCATAATCCATAAAGGCGTTCTGAAGTTATGCTGACCACAAAGTTGCGGAAACACAGACAGACAGACACACAGACACACACACATACATACATACATACATACAGACAGACACGCCAAAAACAATACCTCCATTTTTCATGGAGGTAAAAATGAATATTTCTAGTTTCGTCACCCTGAAATTGCATGGGATGCCTTTAATCGATATTAATTGTACTCACGTGAAGTATAGCCCTGAAGACGTCTCCAGACCCTCCGACACCGCGCAGTGAATGGTAGTCTGCGCGCCCTGCTGGGGAGTCTTCCCAAACAGACTCAAACCACCGGCAAACAGCGGTTTGATGAGGGTAAACCACCAGCCGTAGGAGTCGCCCAGGTGCCGCTGGAGGCCCGTGTTGATGCCGCCCGGGTGGAGGGAGTAGGCCGTCACCCCCGTTCCTGCTCAGTGGAGGAATGGATGAAAAGGACGTTATTTGGAAGCTTTTAGGACTTCAACTCATGCGTTATGATTTGGTAAAAAGAAAGAAAACATTATCTCAAAAGACAGCGGCACAACTATGTTCAACGAGCGAACTAACTAGTGTGTGAAATATACCAAGACAACACACTCAACCCAGTTAATAAAAGTGGTTAGGGTCCTAAACTATTGCAATTCTACTCGAGACCAAAGCATATGCAGAACTGAAGATACAAAAAATACAAGGGAATATCTTCGTGGTGTATTAGATTAAGCATTAGAATACTTTCAAACCAGGAGCAGTACCGTTATTAATAAAAGAAAGTTCTACCCATTAGTCGTTGCCAAAAGATATATCTGATATTTTTTGTTAAAACAGCCGTACTTCGAAGTAAAGGACGATCGGCTTGGTGGTGTATCGTTTATCCTTTATCCAGCACCATGCTCAGGCGAAATTTTGGATACTCCAAGCGTATCCAGAACCGTGCCCTGGCGCAGGTAGACGTTCTTGTATACGGGGAGACCGTCCAGAACCATGTCTATCTGACCCTACCACTAATATAACCCTTCAAGGCATAGAACTAGATAGACACGGTTATGAAAACGATTAGGTGGCTATAAGATCGTCCACACCTTTAATTTTCCGTGCCAGTTCCTTGGTGAACAGCACGTTGGCCAGCTTGCTCTGCCCGTACGCCTTTATTGGAGTGTAACTCTCCTCCAAGTTGATGTCATCGAAGTGGATATGTCCGACTGCGTGACCAGACGAGGCGACGGTGACGACCCGGCTGGGGGCGGACGTCTTGAGTTTGTCCAGCAGCTGGTTGGTGAGGAGGAAGTGACCCAGGTGGTTCGTGCCGAACTGCATCTCAAAACCGTCTTCTGTCCTCCACTGTGGGCACGTCATGATTCCTGTAGTGTGACAGATGAAGCACTTAGTAAGTTAAATCTACTACTGACGACTGAAAATGCAGGTCTTTCTGGACGACATGACAAGGAAAAGTTATGGCAGATTTTGAATCCGTCAACACAGGTAAAAACGTTACACACACACACACACACACACACACACACACACACACACACACACACACACACACACACACACACACACACACGTACAGACACAAAAACTTATACGTATATAATACAAACATTCAAGTACACATAATACAAACACAGGCACACACAAATGACAGGTTTGTGCAGATGCACTTAGGTTGAGACACACACACACACACGCACATACACACACACACACACACACACACACACACACACACACACACACACACATAAACACACGCACCCACAGATGCACAGAGAAAGAGAGAGACGGATAGAAAGAGGGAGAGAGAGAAGAAAAGAAGTAACTTGAAAAGCTAAACTCCTGAAACTGTTAAAAATACTGACCAGCATTGTTGATAAGAATGTCCAGTCGAGATTCATCAGCGTTGAATTTAGCCGCGAACTCTCGGACGGAGTTGAGCGACGCGAGGTTCAGCTTCTCTACGACGACATTTCCGTTTCCGGTGTCCTTCCGAATCTCTGCAGCAGCTTCCTCGGCCCTTTTCGGGTCTCTGCAGGCGAGGATCACTCGGGCACCTTTAGAATCGAAGACAAGTACATAAAATTTAGTTTAATATTTTTAGAAGCATACGTGGACATGTTTGATTGATAATTTCATTTACTTTTTTGCTGGAGAATTAAAATTTATTCGGAAACAAAATGGTGCCTTCATGATGACGTCAACATCCAACATGGCGGTGACAATCGCGACGCTAACCAAAAAAGGTATGCTTTCGCACACATAGAATGATCGGTTGATGAAGCATGCAAATATGCAAGCTATGTATGGTGCCTTTTGTAACTATATTTATTTTTTACAATGCAAATAATTAAAATTGCATGATCATTTTTCTTTGATTGACTGGAATGAAACAGCAGGGACAACGTCATTTTTAAAATGATTATCTATGAAACTGTTTTCTGCTCCGACTGTGCATCTGAAAGGTCAGATGAAGACCACACTGACAATTCTTTATGTGTTACCACGGACGTCGACTTTCAACTTTGGCATATAATTCACAATGTACCACACTGTGATGCAGCTAGCTAATTGTTTTCTGCGATGGAGACTTAAATGTAGTATATACTAGTTATTTAACAATACATTATGTCCATGTTGCGCATCTTTGCCATTGATCTATATACAGTCAAACCTCCAAGAGTGGCCAAGTGTCTTTAAGTCTGCTACCTGTCCATAACATTTTTTTCTCGGGTACATGTTTTATGCGATCTGTCCAAGAAGGCCACCCGCCCAAAACAAACACTCACCTCGGTCCCCTGCATGACTGTACTTCATCATGCCTATCCCGGGAACTAGCCATGGGGTCTACATATCTTACGTGTTACAATATATTACGACATACTCGATGCTATACACAGATGTATATATGTATATTCAAATGCAACAACTCTCACAATGCAAAAATAGGTAAATACATAAACGTTTTGTTATCTGAAAAAAAGCCGAAAGTCATTAACCCTACTTGATTGTATATTAAATTTAGCACTCGATGTTTAATAACTAGTATGTTAACTTTCATTCTATATCCTTTTCTTTTTGTACTATGTTCAATAGTCGTTGCCATACAGTGTACCATGTACAACTGTCGTGCAATAAAGTTATCCCTGTCTGCTATCTGGCACAGCGGATGGTGGGGAGGGGCATGGGTCGGAGACGGGTCATAACTCGTTTGCTCTCGGCGCGCTGCCTTGTGACTTTGGGTACTTCATACCTCTTTTGGCGAGGTCCCTTGCCGTCTCCTTGCCGATGCCAGCGTTCCCCCCGGTGATGACGACTGTCTTCCCGTCCAGCCGTGCGTTACTGCGGCACACACCTCCGCCGAAGTACCGCCTCAGAAGCACCACTGTGGCTACTGCGGTGTGAATTGATGTTAACAGTTTTGAAGGTACATCCAACTACAGTATTAACATCCGTGTCCATAATATCACCAGGGTCCATAATATCGCCACCTTGAGAAATAGTGTGCTTTAATGTATTTTTACTGCAACATACTTTTGGTATGCACTCCTGCACACCTCAAATGTACATACCTAGGGTATGTTGCAGTAAAAACATCTTTAAGCACACTTTTTCTCAATATGGCGATATTATGGACTTTGGTGATATTATGGACACAGATGTTAGGTGTTCGTTGATATTTTTTCAGCAATTGGCCACGTCGGTGCGTCCATCATACAGTATTTATGCGGAATACATAATTTTACCTTGTCGTGGAATGCCCTAGCGCTATGATGCTTTATGTAATAAGCTATTCGAATTTCTCGAATCGAGTACAATGCCCAGGCCCTTTTCGATGGTGCGACGCGTACGCTCTATCATAACCATGGATACCTATGGAATCTATGACCACGAATAATCAGAGACAAGATCCCTTCACAGCCGTGGAATTCAAGTCTAAAAGTGATGAATGTCATCCCGGCCATGGAAGTCATAAATTCACGGCCTCTGGAAATATATCTATCGAAAGATGCATGGGGAAGTGGCTTAAATTGATGACATATATTAGCCATTTTAGGAATGTCCTTCTTACCTATTATAAGTATCCCAGAGAGGGCGACGAGGCCTGCCTGTAGCGAGTCCATCTCACCAACGGTCTGGCACATCTGGGTCGATTCTGCCAGGTTGGTCTATAGTTGCCCAAGCACGTACATTCCCCATTTTTCCCATTCCCAGGATGCATTGCGCATGAGGGTAAAAATTCCCAGGTTGCATAGCGCCAGATCTAAAGGATGTGTTCCTGTGGAGTTTTTACATTCGCTGATGACAGAAACTAAAATAATGAAGGTTGATCCCTTCATATTTGTATACTACAAGATCTGTTGATTTTTCTCTTTTTTTTTCCATTGACAGACGGTAAAGCATTACCATTGTGATATTCCATGTTAAGAAGAACACAAAAACTTCATTCTTTGTTGTCAGACCAATAGTAAGTCAAGTAATGTTGGGCATAAAATGTCCCAACATGTCACAACACACACAAAAAAAAAACAAGCTGTTTAACGTCAACATGATACCTTCCTGCGCTGTGCAACATGGGAGATTTTATCCCTCGGTCGCAATGCATCATGGGAATGGCAAAACGGTAAAGGTACCCCGCGCCACCGGTCAACATTGACACTGTACTTTTAGTGAGCTAAAGAGGCGGTCCGTTTACTTTAAAACTACTTTTGCAAATAGGACTGACGAGCTATTTGCTAACCCATTTTCGTCGTTTGAAGACGTCTGTCATAATGTCAGCGATACCTTCCGTTCACACGGCGGTCTGTCACTACGGTATTCTTTCCCATTGCTATGCGCGTTCGAAAAGGTATCGGGTTACAAGACGCTATTTTGGCCTGTTTTGGACTACCCGTAAAATATTTGAAAATAAACAAATAATATTTAGGCGTAAATTTCGTCAAATTAAAATGAAATTATCATCTTAACATCCTTTGAATGTTAGCTTTTTATGTTGAATCACTGATTTTTTTAAATTTCGCTCAGAAAGACGATTATTTTAGGGTTTCCGGGCACAAGTCATGTCACGTTTTTAGGCAAACATCGTTCAAACCTGGCTACGTATATTACCCCAGATCCCTGATTTTTATATTTTTCGCAGACTAGGAATAAGATAAAAAATCGTGTTTTAGGGATTTTTTAATTTCTGATTTTAAGTCTAGTTTTTGTCGACATATTGGTGAAAAAATGGCATTTTTTTACATTTTTCTCACTAAATTACCCATAATTCAAAATTGAGGCCATTTTTCAAAAATCCCTAAAACACGATTTTCGGGACAGCCGTTACAGTCATTTTGAGCCGTAAATGGGGTATGTTTGACTCTCCATGTTTCCAGGTTTGAACGAGTTTTGGAGACATGTCATATCGCCAGAAAGTGTGCATTGTGTTATTCATACTGGTGTAAAGAATCATTACAGTATTCAAGGTCACTCAAGGATACGACAGTAGCTTCGCTACATGTTACATGTCCACCAAAAATAATAGCGGACATGTACTGTCCAGAAAACTGTTTGTATCTATAGAAACGTGTTGTTTTTTTATCTGTTGCAATGCACGGAGGCAGAAAGGCTTGTTTTGCCGCTTTATAGTAAATGACCGCAGGTGACCCCGAAATAGAACGCGGGTTCGATTCGAATTGCCCAGATCGAACACGATCGAACACAGTTCGGGTTCTATGACATGTGGGAACTTTGCAGCCCAGATTTTACCACCGTGTCACAAATATGGCTGTCAAAGCTTTCTAGCCAAAGACTGTAATGTTGTATATAGACTGTATCTATGTCCCTGAAGTTAGGTCGTTTCTTGACCGAAAAGCAGTACAACTTGAGATGTTGTGGATGGATCTTTATGACATCTGGTATAATGTTAAAAAGCATTTGGAAAATGTGACTATGGATCCCCTAGTGGCTTTCTTTGGTACTGCAGCATTGCTTCTGGTGTTCTGAACATGTTATGCTACCTATTGGGCTTGAACAAGTGGTGTAGATTTGGCCCCCAAAATCATTGTTGAAACTAAGGAGATTGTAATTCAAGAAAGGGGCGAACGGGTCACGATAGTGGACATGATTATATGCGGATTATGTAAATTACAAGCTAATTTGCATAGTAGATGGAGAATCAGTGGATTCTTTTTACTTTTTACGACCAAACTATGCTGAATCTGAACCTGAATAGTCAGATTCAGCATAGTTTGTATTACTTGAACCTGAATAGTCAGATTCAGCATAGTTTGTATTACTGTAATTACAGCCAAACGGACAGTGGCCAGTATTTCTTCCTATGCAAGATAAATGTACAATGTACATGTTTAATAAAGGGTCAATGTCCCGCCCCGAGGTGTACATGGAGAGATAATCCTTGGTCAGTTGTGATAAAAACCGAATAAAACACCAAGTGAGCGTAGCGAACGAGTAGGTTTTTTCGGTGGTTATCACACCTGACCAGGGATTATCTCACCATATACACCGAGGATAAGGCGGGGCATTAACCTTATTATCATATAGCCTATCCAAACTTTTTTTTCCATCCTCCTTTCCTTCAAGTGGTCAAGCTGCTGTTCATTGAAACTAGCAAAATGAGTACAGTAAATCTTAATTTTTAACGATCCACAAATTTCAGTGAATTTAGTGGTCAAGATCCACAGCAACTATTTCATGTATTTGACCACTTCTGCTCCGCCACCATAACAAGCTCGTTATGGTACATTCACAATCACGCTTCATTTCTTGACTAGGACACGCATACAATGTACTAGTGATTCAATCAGGAAGAAGCAAAACATTACAGTAACTATTATTTCGGAAATAAAACATTTATCATACAGAAAGTGTGTGTCGCCATTTTATTTACAAAGTGCAGTGTGTAAATATACCATACCACAGTTAATATTGAAACAGTGGCGTCGTTACGCTTTGAAATTTCGCAGCTTATTTGCATAAGGGCATTTACAAACGTATACATACTAGATTACATTACGAGTTTCTCCGTAAGTTTACAAAAAAACCGGCAAAGTGTTCATTTTGTGCTGCAAGGAGACAATATCAGAAAAGATGAGACTATTGAATGCGTGCAGACAATATCAAGCAAGATGACGTCACACCATTAATAATTACAATTTTACAAACGAGTTACAAAGTATGAGAAAGCGGCATCAATCTGCTACATTCTGAGCACAACACAAGCGAGTCTTACGAACTTTGATAAAACATTTTGAAGTCTACGCGCCAGTGCCATACTTTGTTTACTAAGTGTGCCCGACTAAACCCGTACATTATGTCGTGCTCTCTCCGCTAGATGACATGCAGGCAAAGTTAAAAATGTCCTTAGACTAAGTTTGTTCTGTAACCCGAATCATGTTCCACCGTGTTCGATCTGATGAAATTCGAACAAAACGTGTTCCCTATGACGTCATTGGCGGCCATATCGGTCGACGCTGATTGGTTCCGGTGTTTATGGGATTTAATGACCGCTGGGTGCGTTGTGGTGTCATAACCAATAGCAAACGGGGACCTCTGATTGCTCAACACTATCTGGCTATATGATAATAAGCTTTCAAATATGTACACATTGAGATCCTTTCTATTATATTTCTACCTTCTTTTTTCATTGTCAAAAAAGAAATAAACAACTCAGTACTGAAGACAGTCTACTAGCATACCACCTATGACCATAACCTCATTTGGATGGAATAAAATGTTAATGTGAACTTTGCACAAAAGTTGCTGTAGTTTATCGGTCTGGCAATAATGAGAATGAAGACCATTATTGTACACATATACCCACTTGGTTAGTACAGGTCCAAACAGGAGAATAGAATACAGATAACGCTACTATACAATAATATATTACTAATAATATATTATTGTGTAGAAAAGCAAAACACTTACATTATTATTATATTCTTTAAAGAAGATCCTTTTTCATAAATTACGGAAATGGAAACAAGTTACTTACATTTAATACATTTTTAAAGTACTTCTCTTAGATTAATGAAACAGTAACATTAACTGAAATATGAAAAAAAGGTACTTTTGCACCAATCTTGACAAGCGTATTAGTACATGAAGCTCTTGCAAATAGACGACACCACTCCACATACAGCACGGGGGTCCCTCATTATTTCAATGCGTCTATGCATCAATGCTAAAAAGCCACAAATTCACCATTTCGAGATCTTAATAACAAACTACGGATCTAAATTCAAACAAATCCGTCTAAAGGATCGTAAGTTAAAGATACAAACACATAAACCCTACTGAGAGCAAAACCTACAATCGGAGCCAAAATACATGTGGCCCGAAGCCAGGATTTTGAATGTGTGTGTGTGTGG